AAATATTTTGACATTTAAATTCAAATTTTATAATAAAGAAATAATATAATATCTCATTAAGACTATTCACGAATATTGACAAAAAAGCATTATTTTAAAATATTATACAGACTATTGTAAGAGATGTGTGTTACTGTTGTACATTCTTAATGCACTGTATCCTAAGAATAAAACTTTATTAAAATTTACATTTATTATGTTAAATAATACATCAATTTGTTTATAAACAAATGCAATAATTTAAATTTGTTTATTAATATCACCAGAAGAGTGAAGCTTGCCTCAAAATTTCAGAAGTTTCCTTTTGATATTGTCCATTTTTGAGATACGGAGGCGTCAGTTCACGGTATGCGAGGCAGACGCGTCTCGATGTGACGTCTTGTCGAAGCACAGCATGCTCCCATTTGTACCTGTCAAATAAAAATCATGTATATAATAATTATTAATACCATGGAATACACTTTTGTCTTTAGTATTTAGTTGGATATTACACCTTGCTGGACCATATAAAACCATGAGTGATCTAGCAGGCATCGGCAATCGTACTACTATGTTATCATCAATACCCAAAGAATGTGTATTATCGTATATGTCTTTCTCTAGGATGGAATCATAATTTGAAACGTAGTCTAAATTGTATCGCGTTATCGGACCACGATAAGGAGTCATAGTCAAAACAGAATCACCAAGAACGTTCACAGTTATTATGCGTTCTCCCCAAATCCAGCAATCATCCACGTGGGGATCTATAGAGGCACCTCGTTCGGGATTATATTCAAGCGTACACTGTTCGACAGTTTTAAAACCATGTAATAATGATATTTCCTCAAATTTCTTTTGTACAAATTGCGTTGTTTTGGGAAAACCATTAAACGATCCTAATTGTAATTTTCGCTTTTTGAAGTTACATTTTGGTCCAAAATTCTATAAATTAAAATGTTTTAATTTAAAATACGTAAAGATATATGTATATATTTGTCTAAATGCTTTGGAGATATACCTGTTTTCTTCTACCGCTTTGTGAAGATTGCCAAGGAAGATCATCAAGTGCTTTCATGAGCTCTTCAGCCTCATCTTCCTTTAAGAAATCTAGCTGAGACATATATATATATAATATTAATTAATTATAAAATATGTTGTAAATGTTATATATTATGTATATACCTTGATATAAACACCAGGATAATTAATCAAGTTCCCATCATGATTAGGATGTTTCTTGTATTCGTTTATATCCCACCCGGATAATAATTTATTACAATATGGACAATAAATGTAACTTTTGCTTTTCTGTAAAATTGTATATAAATATATCATAAAATAAAAAATAAGGTAGTAAATAATTATATATTTTAGAAGATTTGTATAATTCTATAGTTTTTTAATTTCTATAAAAGAATTTTTTTCATTTTAATCTATGTTATAAAAATTTATGTTCTCTAAGATATGGACTAATGCAGAATAAAATAAGGAATAAAATGTATGTCTCATCTTTTCAAAACAAGTAACTGGTTTTACTAGTATTTTAATCAGCTAAGAGCAGATTTCAAGACTTAGTACAACAGGAGGTACCAGAAAGACAGCAACTGGTGAAATTCTCAGGTATATAAACGTCTTTTCAGAAAAGATCATTTTTACGTGAGAGATAGTAAGCAAAAAAATATTTTATGGATTCAATATTAGGAATTACTTTGTTTTTTGAGAGTACATGTATTGTTTTATTTTAAATTAAAATACATTAAAGCCTGCAACAAAATATCTTTATAATGAGAATTGTAATAAGGATTTGATTGCAAAATAGAAATAAAAATATATAGATAGAAATATTATATTTTGCCCATAAGCGCCAATTGAATTATCTCTAACTAATTACTAATATATCAATTAATATATATCATCAATACATAATCAAGAGTCATCAACTGAAGTA